CTAGGAAGGAGGCTGGGCATGGTGGCTCACACCTGTAATCCTAGCACTCTGGGAGGCCAAGGCAGGAGGATTGCTTAAGCTTAGTGGTTGGAGACCAGCCTGAGCAAGAGCGAGAACCCATTGCTGTTAAAAATAGGAAAAGTAGGGCAGCGCCTGTGGTTCAATGAGTAGGGTGCCGGCCCCACATACTGAGAGTGGTGGGTTAAAACCTGGCCCTGGCCAAACTGCAACAACAAAAACAAATAGCCGGGCATCGTGGTGGGTGCTTGTAGTCCCAACTACTCCAGAGGCTGAGGCAAAAGAATCACCTAAACCCAAGAGCTGGAGGTTACTGCTGTGAGCTGTGATGCCACAGCACTCTACCAAGGGTGACAAAGTGAGACTCTGTCTCTAAAAAAAGAAAAAAGAAAAGAAAAAAGAAAAACTAGCCAGGTATTGTAGCAGGGACCTGTAGCCCCAGCTACTCTGGAAACTGAGGCAGGAACATCACTTGAGCCCAGGAGATGGAAGTTGCTGTGACCTACAACACCATGGCACTGTAGCTTGGGCTTCAAAGGGAGACTCTGTCTCAAAAAACTTTTTTTTAATTAAAGAAAATAAAGCTGGGAAGGACCAATATGTTATTCGCTCCATTACTAAAATGTCAGCAAATAAATACTAGCTTAATGGGCACAAAGTATCTGAAATGTCTTTCTAACTTGCTGAGCAGATCCCTGGTCAGTATGGAGACCTCTGTGTGCCCCATGGGTCCGATGAACTTCTGAAGCAGAAAGATGACACTTACAAAAGGTTTCAGTTGGGTGGCGCCTGTGGCTCAAAGGAGTAGGGCACCGGCCCCATATGCCTGAGGTGGCGGGTTCAAACCCAGCCCCGGCCAAAAAAAAAAAAAAACAACTGTAAAAGGTTTCAGTTGAGTTCTAATACAGATTTCTCCTCTGCCAAGTGTATGCTAGAAACTGTGTTATAAAATGGATTACCATTAACTATACTGGGTTTTCTTAGGGAACAAAAGAGGGTGGCATTACTGGGCATCATATAAATCCAGATGGACCCAGCATATGTCAAAATGTCAAAAAAAATTAATGATGACCATTCAGAATAGTAAAATTATGTTTAGTGTCCTGCCAAGTTGTGCTTTGTCTGTCGGTTCAATCAATGGCCCTAATGTCTCTGTTAATTTAATAGTGAGTGGTGTAAAAAACCTATGTTCAGGATAAAAACAAATGCTCACATACACAGTGGGAAATGCTTAGGAGGTCAGATCATTAGGTTTGTGAACTCATCTTGGAAAAAGTGCTACATACCTCGTTGCTGATAGTCACTATGTTCACCTTCAGAGTACTCCCATTGGGAAGTTATACACTGACACAGGGCCTAGTCCAACCTTCAAAGTACTTTTTCTAGGATGTGTTCATGAACTTGTCAGACCTCGTATGACAACAGCTCTGATGGCCCTTCTGGGAAAAGAGTTCCAAAATTTCTTCAGTGGGTGAACCAGGCACTATTGATATTTTGGTCTATTTCCTTTCATTTCTTTTTCGTTATGTGAGGGTATGTGTGTTTAAACAAGTTGTAAGCATCTTTAAACACGCCTTGTTCATTCATTACAGTATAACCCTTTTTCCATGTTATGCCTTAGCTTCTAGGAACATTGTCCTTACTGACTTTGGTTAAAGATCTTCCACGGTGTGCTTCATTGACACTATTTTTGCATAAAAAGTCATGAACGCGCAACAGTCACACATTCTTAAACAATCCTTTTGAAAACCTTGGGAGCAAGACTGGGCTGTGCACTGCCGCTGATTTCTACAAGGCTGTTTTGTGTGGATGATGCTAACGAGGTCTGTCACAGCTGTGGTATCGCATTCCCGTGAGCACTGAGCTTGTCAGCTCCATCCCGTGGGTGGGCCCTGTGCATATGGGAAAAGCCAGCGCACTGTGTGTCTTGCCTGAGAGCAAACAGGTGCCTGAGCATCCAGTGTCTGCTGTGGGCTCAGGAGCCTGCAGCTGGGAGAGTTTGCTGATCCTGTGAAACTTGTTTTCAGGCCTTGGGGGTGACAGTAGTCGTGATTATCCCTATGTGCCCTTCCCAGCTCACAGAGGCTCTCAGTGTGCATTGTCATCTGACCCTCTTTAGAGCATGTGGCTGCTCCTAGATTACAAACCATAGGTGGGAAGATCAAAACTACCACCTGATGGCGTCCGACTCCTTCCAGAACTCTTTTCACTTCCCATCCTTAGACCCAGGCAAGATGGGCCTGTGACTTTAGGAGACCCTCCTTGGGCCTTCCAACACCTTGTACCCCTGCCCTATGGGTCCAGGGTCGTGTCTGGCCAGAGCCCACTCACCCACTCTTAGACCATACTCTGGGTTGGTGGAATTCCCTAACAGATGGCCCTGAGCACTTCCAGGCTGTATACAAACTTGAATCTGCCCCTCCTGAGGACAGACCACCAGTACACTAGGCCCAGGGGCAGCAGTTTTGATCTGTGGAGCTATAGGATAAATTCAGCATGGAGGTGTGGGCTGGGGCCAGGCACAGAGGCTGAGGCTCAGAATTGCAAGGACCCTGAAAATTCTGAATTCAAGCCTGGCCCTCTTGGTCATTATGAAGATATATTTTCTGTGTAACAGTTTATTAGCTTAAACTTTTAAATATTTAGAGGTTCAGCACTTGAACCTTCTTTTCTACGCTTGCCCTGCTGGGGCCTACAAGTAAGAACGGTCCTGGCACTTTTATCACAGTGTGCTGTTTCTAGGTTCTCGTTTTCTATCCAAGGCTACAGATGTACTGAGGAGGTGGAAAGCAATGGAAAACCACAGAAAAATAAAACAATTGAGTGTGTAAAACCCCAATATACCAGACGCCCCCATATGCACATGTAAAAGCAAAAAATGCATTTCAGGACAAAATAGAGTACAACCACCTGCTAGGAGGATGAATCAGGCTGGCACCATCCAGCAAAATCAGAAATAGAAGCTGCTAGTAAAGCTACAATCTGCGCTGCTCTTCCCCTTCCCTCCACTTGCCGCCCCCGGCAGGTCTCCTACACATAACTGCACAACACCACCCTCTATTGGTCGCTTTAAGTGATACAAATAGCCAGAGCACAGTACTCAGGAACAAGCCAGGGTGTATTCTCACTGGCCCAGACAGCATCGTGGAAAATCAAGGCTGGGAAATTTTACACTTTAATTTGCGGCCCCTGAACTAAAATTTTTTGCAGTCCCGTATATCCCAGCAATATTTCTAATCTGTGATTGAGGACTTAACTGAATAGAGAAGCATGAAATCGTCAAGATAATTTCATTGTGTTCTTTTTCTCTCCTGCAGAAAACAGATAAAAACCTCAGTTCTGACTAGTTAAACACATGGTAGGGCAACAC